TTTTTTTTTTTAAATGCTTTTTTTTTTTTTTTGTTTTTTTTTTTTTTTTGGGGGGGGGGGGTGGGTTTGAAGAATTTGAACCCATTTTTGATGAACCCAGAATAGAATGGTCAAAGAATTCAAATCTGGGTTCGGGTTTGATTGCTTCATGCGTATATTTGCTCCTGACTACAACCACCTCAATATTCAAGTAACTGATTACCATTCCAATACTTTCGAGGATGCTAAATCGGTTATGCAGCTTGATGACTTGGTTAGTGTTTTTTTTTTTTTTTAATTTTATTATTATTATAATCATGGGTTTTTGATTTTATGAAATTTGGGTTTTAAAGTTTGTAACTTTTTTTTTTTTAATGGGGGCAACGCAGAGGAATTGCATTGGAATTGGAGGGTCTTTGACTGAGCTTGTTGAGTAACTTGCTTCTTCTTTTAAATCTGATGATGTAAAGCTTGTTCTTGAGAAATTTCGGATCCGGATGGTGATTCATGTTGTTGAACTTTAATGCATTTTGATTCTAATTTTTAAATAGTAAATGAAGATATATGGTGAAGTGAAGTGATTTTTCAGCCAAGCATTTCTTACATGCTGCGGAACTTTTTTTTTTTTTTTGTGGTTTGCTTACTCCTGCCCTCCCCTGCTTTACAACAGACAAACTAGCAGGACGAGATCCTGCCTCAACGAAAGTTACTAATCGTGTCGTGTCAGCATTTCACAGGTACTTCAGCATCATTAGTGTGATTCACCATATGAGCCTGTGTCCAATATCTAAACTTACAGTGTTTGAGCAGGGCAAAAGTGAGGGGTGCCTTACTCCAGGTTACAGAAGATGACGAAAATAACTAGAAGTCAATTTGACAGTTTGTTTCAATATGTTTTGGAATTAAAGATTTCAGATTAGAATTATGACTCACATATAATATACCAAGCCAAGAAGTCAGTTTAAATATCTTAGGGTTACTGATCAGGTAACAAATGGATGTCAGTTTTGTATTTCTCTTAAGAAAATGTGATGCCTCCATCAGATTTGTAACCTACTATTTGGGGTGTGTGTGTGTGTGTATTCTTTTAACCTCTTGTTTATACAAATGCTGCTATGGGTTGATGTGACCTTACACATCGTCAATATGGCCTCTTCTGTTTCCAAGCATGTGCTGTTATCCTTTAGGTTAAGAAACAAGACTCTTGAAATCAGATGACATATCAAAAAGCATCTAAAGAACTAGAAGGTAGAAGGCCAACCTTCTTGAGTATAATCTATAATAGGAGTGATTTTACATGAAAGAGGGGCTCCTATCTACAAGACTATAAAGTAAGTTGTAAGAGATAAATTGATATCTGCAAAAGGCAAGACTCTGTTCTAAATATATTCTCTGAAGCACCATCCCAGAATAATTTCTCTTGCTTGTGTCATTTCTTGTTCTACGGCTCATACTGATACCATTGCGAAAATCTTCAGACGCGTCCTTTGAGTTTAGTACTTTCGCTTTTCTTAGTGCGGAAGATAGGCCAGCAGCTTGGCAAGGCATCCATGTTGTCATCATACCTGCACAATCCCAGTAAGAAATTCAAAATCTGATTGTAGTAGTCCTTAACAGTCTGACGAATTTCAGTAATCAAGAAAGAAAATCAGATGACAGAATTCTCAATACATGGAAATAGATCCTGCAAATATGAATTTTCCATTGCAGATCATTCAAATGTTAAAATTTAATAGAACCCAAGAAATACCTGCTTGTGCTGCTGCTCCGGCTGCTGCTCCCACTTTTCCTACCCTCTTTTGTAAACAAAATCCTTTTGACCCACCACTCCTTGTCTGCGCGGTTATCAGTTAGTTCCATCGATGACCTTGGAGGAACTTCTGTGTCATTTCTCGTGTTGTCTGATCTGATCTTGAAACTGAGAGAAGTTGGGATGAACAGCTTGATCAAGAAAGTTTCCTTTTCCATACTTCCATTTCTTGAAATATCACCTGTCTTGCGAAAACTCTTCGTCTTCTTCGTCTTTTGTTTTGTGATGACTTGAGCCTCAATCTTTAAATCAGAACTTGTTCTTTGTATCGCCATCTCCTCCTGTGCCTCTTCTGAAATCTGCTGCCCATCAACAATATCCTTCAACGATAGTTCATAACTACACTCTGGCATGCTATGAACCATCTCCATGAGCTTCTTCCTGCCTTCTGCCACCACTTGTAACCGTGACATTGGCGAAATACTGCTGTAATGATGGCTATGGGGGGATAAAGGGGAGGATTCATTTCTAACTTTTATTGACATATCAGTTTCTCTCAAGGGTGGTGAGTAATCAACAAAGTCTTCTTCAGACTGTGCTTGAAACCCTACGTCACTACATCCTCTGTCACCATAATATTGTGTTTCACTTGCACCCCAGAAAACAAAGTCTACATCTCCGTTGTCATTGCCGTGCATTTTGTACCCGGGATTCAAGGAAGGGAGATGATTGCAGTAATCAAGCATGGCCTTGATCAGGAGGAGTGTTGAGAGAACAAGTAATGTTCATTTAAGATAAAATGAAGAGATTTTATGGGAAGGATAATAGTCTTATTTTCTAGACACTGTTTACATAGGGGCTAAAAGTCTTGCCGTCTCAAATGGGATGAGATGTGACTGGTCTCAGCTTCCTATTTTTCCACACATGTCTTGTTCAAAATTTTCTCAAGAAAATCCACAATGAGTGAACACCTATCTTGATTTTGTCATTTTCTAATTTTAAGTTGTAATTTATTAGGTGAATATGTGAATGATAATTATTTTATATTGAAAAATAATGAAAAAAAAGTGATATTTATGTATAAAATAAATCCATGACCCAACCATCTATATTTGGAGATAAAAGTGATGTCCATCCTTGTATGCAAAACTATCGTGTGCATAGGTCTAATACGAACATGGAGCTAGGGAGATTCATGCATCTGTCCAAACACAAAAGGCTCCCTAACAAAGTAACACAAAGAGTCTACGGTTTGGATGATAATTCGGGTCTCGTGGCTTGGTTTGTTTTCCCATCTATACACACCCTCGTTCGCACAAGTCCCCGAACAAACTAAAATTATTAACACTCGAACTTGTTCTACAAATTAAAGAAGGTTGTGAGATAGACAATCACTAAGCTACGTCTACTCGTATAATACTAAATAAGTGTACTCTTTACATATATTATCATCTCAAGTTGAAGGTTTTTTTTTTTTTTTTATGAATATAGAGCTGGGTTTGGGTTTTAAGACAGGAAAATAATTTAGTATTGACTTGTGGAATGTTGAGTGACTTATGGAGCTAACGGATAGAAAATGTATAAAAGCTATGTTTTTCCTCGGTAAGATAAAATTTCATTTTCCAAGTTTTAGGGGCCCTGTTGGATGTGTTGCTGTTCTAGATATTCAAATTGGTGCGTGTGCTGAGGAGCTAAGGGCAGCTGATCAACAACACATCACGATCCTGGAATGGAAGACAACATTTGCATGATCCACGTTATCTTTCTCGAAGCTGTCCAAAATCTTTGTTAACATGGCTTAATTAGAGGTCATGTATTGACTCTTATCTTTGTGGCTGTCCATGTTCTTATTCATGAATTCAAAGGAAGATTAGCCCAGTGACTTCGAAGAAAGAAGCAACGAGGGCCGATGATGAATACTTAATTTCTTAACGAAGAACTATTTGTTTTTTTTTTTTAAATATATATATCATTTGAATTCAGTGCCACATATTTCCAGGAAACAGGGAAGAAGTTTCAAACTGTTTTCGATAACTAATAAGTCATTTATATAATTGTTCACAAGCATGGATGACGGTGTCACATCAGCAGAACAAGTCGTCAGGATGATGTTGTTTGAAGTTTTTAATAGAATGTTAATGATTATTTTTTAAAATATTTTTTATTTTAAAATATATATATAAATATTTTTTTAAAAAATTATTTTTTGATATTAATTCATTAAAACAATATAAAATTATATAAAAAATTAATTTAAAGTAAAAAAATATTTAATTTTTTTAAAATATTTTAAAATATAAAAACAAATAAGTAATTCTTCAAAGATTACATTGTCATGTTCAGAAAAATTCTATGTCCGAAGATTTAGAAGAACTCTGTCGATCAAAGAATAATTTAAATACCCGTTTTTCTAATTTCAAAGAACATAAATACATGATTGGACACCATAAAAGATGAATAATTGATTTCATTCAAAAAAAGAAAAAGAAAAGAAGATATACATGATCTTTATTGGATGGTAAGGAGTATTTTTTAAGTTAACATGTATACAGATTAAGTATATTTTAAAATATTTAAAGGCATTTATTAAATCTCCAAGAGTATTGTTCTTAAGATTTAAAGTTCAAATATTAAAAAAAAAATTAAAAAGTATTTTCGATCGGGTTAACTATTTAAAGTTTCTAAAACTATATATACAAAAAAGTTGACTTTGAATGAGAATTTAATTACATCAAGCATGCCTTCGAGCAATATATAATCATAACATATAGTATATGTTCTCTGCAAGAGTCTATGAAGCTCGATCTAATCAAGTCAAACCAAGTTTCCGGGTTGCTTCCACAGTCCAACCCTAATCATGATCTCCAGCAACATAGCTGACTGGCTGGCTTGCCTGAGCAATATATATAGCACTGTTGAAATATTAGACTCTATAAATTAATTATCTAAGGTTCATGCATTTATATAATATATACGAACATATGTCGCATAATAAATAAAAATGAAAATAAAAGGAAATTAAATTAATTATGAGATTAAAGCTTTCCATTCTTACAATAAGTTTGTTAGATTTATATTCACTTGGATTATCATATTGTTATAAATTTAGGTTTCTTTCATAAAGCATTAAAAAAACTGGCTTAAAAACACTGGCTCATCATATGACAATTTATTTCTTTGTATTTTTATTTTTATAAATAAAGATTTTCATCATCAAAAGAATAAACTTCTAAAATTCCATTGATTGAATAATCCAGAAAGATAGGTTACTGCATCTTAAATTATTTTTTGTAACATAAAATAATTAATGATGGTGTTGATTTTTTTTTAACAAAAAATTAAAAGAGAAGGGAAAGTTATCATATCTCTTCTCACAAAATATTATTTATTATAATAGTATTTTGTCTATTTTTTTTAATTTATATTTTTTTTTCAATTTTAATCTCAATAGTATTTTGTCTATTTTTTTTCTAATTTATATTTTTTTTTCAATTTTAATCTCATCATTCCATGTTAGATTTATTTAGGATTGAACTTTCAAAAAAAAATTTAATTTAATTTTAATAAGGTTATCCGAAGCTTATAACCTAAAACATAGGTATGATAAGTTAACCCAATTAACTCAAGTTTTTTTTTAAAAATATATATTTTTTAAATTTCATCCTTTAATATTATTTTGATGGGAAATTAGGCTCCATAATTTATCTTAATTTTCTTTTTATAAGGTTATTCTCGTTTTATGACTTGATTTATATGTTTGATAAATTAACCATGGTTACCTCAGTAATTTTTCATGTTATGTTTTTAATTATTTTTCTTTTTTAATTTCATGTTTAAACACTAGGTTAATTAAAAATTAGATTTCATAATTTGTTTTTATTTTTTTCTTATTAGGTTATCTTAGTCTCGTGATCTTGATTGTAAATTTGACAAATTGACTTAGATCATTTTTGGGTTTATTTTTTAATTTATTTTTTATATATATTTCATCCTTTAACATTGATTTTTTTTTAGAAAAAAATTAAACTTCATAATTTATTTTGATTTATTTTCTATGAGGTTTTTATATTCTAATGACTTGATATATGGATTGACAGGTTAACTCGAGTTGACCTAAATTGATTTAATATATTGTCATCTCAATATTTACATATAAATCACATCTTAAATATTTATTTTAAATCAAACTAAAATTGATTTAGTATACAATCAATTATTTAAGTTGCTTTTAAACTTGTTAAAAAGATGGATTCATAATAGATTAATTCTCATTATTTGACTTCCAGCATAATGTGAATTTCTTATATAGTAACTTAATATTTTAAATAAATAATTGTTTTAAGACAATTAAAAATAAAATACTAGAAAATATTTTTAAAATAAAAATAATATTTTTAAATGGGCCTCATATAAAATTAATTAACTCATTAATTGACCTGGTTCATAAAAAATAATGGTAAAACATAGTGGTAAGTAGGTTTGCCTAATAAAATCTCTTTACAAATAAGGGTACAATAGTTTTAATTTACAAACCACTAATTATAATTTTATTAACATTAACAAAAATAAAAATAAAAACTAAAAGAGAAGGGGGTATTTATTGAATTGTTTTTCACAAAACACTATTCACTATAATAGTGTTTTTTTTTGTAATTTTTCTTTCAACTTTAATTTTATTTTTTAACATTAAATTTACTGGAAGTTAAGTTTTCATAATTTCTTTCAATTTACATTTAATGATATTATTTCAGAAACTGCAAATTTGATAAGTTAACTTAGTTGACTCGAGTTTTTTTTAATTGATTTTTTTTTTTAATTTCATCATTTCATATTGGATTGATTGAAATTCAAGTTTTATGATTTGTCTTGATTTGCTTTCTATAATGTTATCCCCATTTAATGACTTAGATCACGAGTTTGACGAGTTAATTCTGGTTGACTCAAGTCATTTCTTGTGTCTTTTTTTAATCAATTTTTTTTCAATTTCATTTTCAATATTAGGTTTATTAGAAATCGAGTTTCATAATTTGTTTTTATTTATTTTTTATTAAGTTATTTTGATCTTATGATCTAGGTCGTGAGTTTGACAGGTTAATCTAAGTTGATTCAGATTATTTTTGTAGAGATTCTTTTTATTGATTTTTTTTCAATTTCATTTTCAATATTAGGTTTATTAGAAATCGACTTTCATAATTTGTTTTTATTTATTTTTTATAGAGTTATCATAATCTCATGACTTAGTATATAGATTAGCAGGTTAATCTAGATTAAACCAAATCAATTCAATACATTGATATCTCAATATTCACAAAAATATCTTATATAAAATATTTATTTTGAGTTAAACTATATATATTTCATCGGTCATCAGTATTGTTTTTAAATTCATAAAAAAGACTAAGTCACATTAAATTAATTCTCAAATATATTTTTTTTATGGGCAAATCTTTAACTTGTTTTAAATTAAAATAAAAAAATTAATCTGATAAGCATCATAACACATGCAAAGAATCTAATTTATTTAAATGGATACACCATGAATGCATATTCTTCAGTGAACTAGCAGTGAGGGTGGTCGTGCAGTGGCATTAATGGCCATCTTCATTCCCATTTGACATTGGTTAGGTGGCCAGCTGCATATGAAGTAATTAGCTCCAAATTGAAGTTGGATTTTATCATCTCCTGACCCATAAAACGCTGACGTGTCTGAGACTGAGCAATCATCATGATCTTTTTTCTCCACCGCAACCACGTTGGCGTCTTCAGTATCATACTTGAATTCTGCAAATAAATATATATATAGCCACACAAAAATAAATAACAAATATATTGGTGCATGAACAAGCATTAAGAGCATCAACAAGTCCCAAAGTCGGCAGTAAATTATTTGCTTGTGTAAAAACAGAAATGGATACAATTATGTTGAAGATTGTGTTTTATAACGCGGTGTAAATAATATTTTTTATTTAAAATTAATTATTTTTTATATTTTTAAATGGTTTGGATGTGATGATATTAAAAATAATTTTTTAAAAAATAAAAAATATTATTTTAATATATTTTTAAAATAAAAAACATTTTATATTATAATTACAGTCACGTCTTGTATCTTCCAAGACACCCGACATACCTAATATGTCTCCAGCATAAAATTTCTTCCCTCGAGTCCAAGATTCCGGGTTAGCCTCTAGAGTCCAGCCCAAATCATCTCCAACAACGTAGGTGACTGGTCCCTTTGCTCGAGCAATATAGCACTGTTGAAATATCAGACTCAACAGGACTGAAGCTATGGTGGCGATGGTTGCTTTCATCTTGTTTGTTAATCAGGAGGGGAAGAGAACAGTATATTGTTTAATTTAACTTTTTATGGTTCATATATATATATATATATATATCTTAATTTAACTTTTTATGGTTCGTGTATATATATATATATATACAAACAGGAAAACACCAATACAAAGACATGCGGAAATAAAATTTAATTACAGTTATAATATCAATTATTTCCATTTCTCACACAAAAATATATAGCAAGCATATCGAGATTTTCCTAATACTTTTACAAGAGATTTTACCTGCTATCATAAGGACTCATCCAATTTGAATACCCAGCATAGATCATCATCTTCTGACAACTTCATATGAACAATTACATGTATCAGATAATTTTTTATGTAATTATTTTTATTAATAGCAATTTTTAAGATTTTATAAGATTCTTTTTCTAATTTAAGAATTCTAATGCTAGTTGGATACTACATTAATTCTTAATAAAAATTCATTTTTTTAAAAGGATTTAGGTCTATAACTAATACAATATATACAAACAGTCACGCACTAATACAAAGATATATATAAAAAAAGTAATTATAATTATAATATCAAATATTTTCGTTTCCCACACAAAAAATATAGAAAATATACCAAAATCTTTCTAATAATACTATAATAGGAACCCATCCAACCTGGGTACCCAACTTGGATCTTGATATTCTAGTTACTTCATATTAACAAGGACACATATCTACTAATTTTTTATATAATTATTTTTATTATTAGTAATAGTTAATATTTTTATAAGATTTTCCTTTTTTAAATTTTAGAATCCTAATGCTAGGTGGATTTTATATTAATTCTTAATAAGAATTCATTTTTCTATAAGAATATTTAGGTCTATAACTAGTATGATATCTACAAATAGTCACACACTAATACAAATATAATTAAGAAAAATAATAATTACAGTTATAATATCAAATATTTTCATTTCCCACATACAAATATAGAAAATATGTCAAGAGTTTCCTAATAATATTATTAGAGATTTTACCCCTTACAATAAAAACTCATCCAACTTGTATACCTAACTTAGATCTTGAACTTCTAGCAACTTTATATTGACAAGGACACATATCGCATGAATTTTTATATAATTATTTTTATTAATAGTAATTGTTAAGATTTTATAAGATTTTTTTTGTAATTTAAAAATCATAGTGATAGTTATATTCTATATTAATTTTTAATTAGAATTCATTTTTGTAGAAGGATTTAGGTTTATAATTAGCATGATATATACAAATAGTCATATATAAATGTTTTTTAAGAAATAAGTTACCTTAACACCTAAAAAGGAATGAATTAAGTGTATTGTTAATTAAAATACTTAAAGTAAAGTAAAAAGACAATGGAGAGAATTTGCAAACTTATTTTAGGACAATGGAGAGAATTTGCAAACTTATTTTCAATATGGTTTGACAAATCTATATCCAAACCTCAAATATCAAACCATACTTAAATATTATATTTTTTTACTAGTCCAAGTTTAAAAGTATACTATCTATTTGATAAATTCATATCAAATTTTTTATACCACTTAAAGAAACTCCTTTATGACTTTTTCCATTTAAAGATATGTTATTTTCAAGATTTTTCATGTGGTGAAATTTCTCCACCAATACTAAAAGTTTTTATTTAACTCTCAAAGGTTTACAAGAATGGTTTTGTTTTTAAACTTTCTTATTGAAGTGGATAATACAATTGAAGTTCCAATATCTTTATAACTTACTAGATAACATTTATAGGATTTAAAGGTGTTTAAGCGTAGTAAAAATATGATTGAATGCTTTTATGATAGAATATGAAGATTTAACAGCACAAATTAGAATATGATTAATGATTGATGATTTTATAATTTTTTTGCTTTTAGAATAACTTATATATGATACATGTTTAGATTTTATACCTAATTCTGCAATTATACAAGCTACGCATATATTTCTAAGAAAAATTGGTCGTTTATAGTTGGTATTATTACTTTAACAGTTAAAACTATAGATCAGTTTAGATTGATCAAGTAAATTAGTCGACTTATTCCTATAAAATTTTAAGGTGTTCATCACTATTGAATAAATAGTCGATCAATTCATTTGATAATACTAAATGATTGGTCAGTTCATGCAGTATTATTGATTTATCATATTAATTTAGATGAAATCTTAGGACCATCTATTTTAAATCTTATTATCAGTATCTTTTAATGTATACAGAGTGAAGTGTGTAAAATCATTTTAATTGTGCTATTAAGTAAAATATAAAAATTTATATTTAAACATTAAAATAAACATTTATTTCAAGTCTTGACTTTGTTTTCTTCTTACACTTCCTAATTGATTTATAAATTCCTTGTTGATATTTTCTTCGTGTGAAACATACTTAAAGTTTATTCTCGATCAATTAGTAGTCGACCAGTTCATTTGGTAATACTAAATGATTGGTCAGTTCATGTAGTATTATTGATTTATCATATTAACTTAGATGAAATTTTAGAACCATCTATTTTAAATCTTATTATCAGTCTCTTTTAATGTATACAGAGTGAAGTGTATAAAATCATTTTAATTATGCTATTAAGTAAAATATAAAAATTTATATTTAAACATTAAAATAAACATTTATTTCAAGTCTTCACTTTACTTTCTTGTTAGACTTCCTAATTGATTTAGTTATAAATTCCATTATGCTTGTTGATATTTTTTTCGTGTGAGACATACTTAAAGTTTATTCTCGATCAATTATATTATTAATTTATTTTTATTATTAAAATATATAAAAACATAAAGGTGTGACACTAAAGATCAATCATAATAAAAATATATATATGAAAACAAAAAATAAATTACAATTATAATATCAAATATTTCCATTCCTCACTCAAAAATATAGAAAAACATGTCAAAACTTTCCTCGTAATATTACATAGATTTTACCTGCTACAATAATGACTCATTCAACTTGTAAACCCAACTTAAATCTTAGTTATTTGGGCTGGGCAGTACTCAGGTTCAAATTGAGATGCTATGGGCCCAAGTCTTCTGTTTGGTCCAATGTCACTACTTCTTTGACCTTGTAGGTTGTAACTATCTTGAAAACCCAGGAGTGGAGCCGAAATTTGAAACCCAACAGAAATTCAAAAATCTTTGCCATAAAAAACACAACAGCCAATTGAGAAATTAATAACCCATGAATCGACTTCATCTATGGTGATAATGGAATGGCAAGACATGGGTTGGTCAAGCAAATCATTGGCAGTGCTGGTGGTGGCGGCATCTTTTTCACTGACTCTTCACCATTTGCAAAACTCTTGGATTTATGCGTCAAACTCAGGTCCTCTAGGGATGCTCGTAGAGTACATGGACGTCTTATCCAAACTCCATTTTGCGAAGAAGTTTTTATACAGAATAGGCTTATTGATGTTTATGGGAAATGTGGTTACTTGGATTATGCACGCAAAGTGTTTGATAGAATGTCTGAGAGAAATGTTTTTAGTTATAATTCGATTATTAGTACTTTAATGAGATGGGGTTTTGTTGATGAGAGTGCATGGTTGTTTTCATTAATGCCTGAGAAGGATCAGTGCTCGTGGAATTCAATGATTGCTGGGTTTGCGCAGCATGATCGGTTTGAAGAAGCTTTGGATTGGTTTGTTCGGATGCATAGGGATGATTTTGTGCTGAATGATTATTCCTTTGGTAGTGGTCTTAGTGCATGTTCGAGGTTAAAGGACTTGAAATTGGGTGCTCAAATTCATGGTTTGATATCAAAATCGAAGTACTCCTTGAATGTTTTTATGGGGTCTGGTCTTATTGATTTTTATTCAAAATGTGGGTTAGTGGGTTGTGCCCGAAGGGTTTTTGATGGGATGGAGGAGAAGAATGTTGTTTCCTGGAACTGCTTGATTACTTGTTATGAACAAAACGGTCCTGCAATTGAAGCTTTGGAAGCTTTTGGAAGGATGATAGAGCAAGGGTTCAAACCAGATGAGGTTACGCTGGCTAGCGTTGTCAGTGCTTGTGCAACTTTGGCTGCATTCAAAGAGGGTGTGCAAATTCATGCCCGTGTGGTGAAATCTGATAAATTTAGGAATGATCTTATCTTGGGCAATGCATTGGTTGATATGTATGCAAAATGTGGTAGAGTTAATGAAGCGAGATGTGTTTTTGATAGGATGCCTGTTAGGAATGCGGTGTCTGAAACCACCATGGTCAGTGGGTATGCAAAGTCAGCAAGTGTGAAAGCCGCAAGATCAATGTTTGCTACAATAAAGCAGAAGGATATAGTTTCTTGGAATGCACTTATTGCGGGATACACACAGAATGGGGAGAATGAAGAGGCACTGGGACTCTTTCGAATGCTAAAGAGGGAATCTGTTTGTCCAACCCACTACACCTTTGGGAACCTGCTGAATGCCTCTGCAAATCTTGCTGATCTGAAGCTTGGCAGGCAGGCACATAGTCATGTTGTTAAGCATGGATTTAGGTTCCAGTCTGGTGAAGAGCCTGATATTTTTGTGGGAAATTCTCTCATAGACATGTATATGAAATGTGGATCTGTTGAAGAGGGACTTCGGGTTTTTGAAAACATGGTGGAAAAGGATCATGTATCATGGAACACCATGATAATAGGGTATGCACAAAATGGCTACGGAATGGAGGCCCTTGAACTATTTCAGAAAATGCTGGAATCTGGAGAGAAACCAGACCATGTTACAATGATTGGTACTCTATGTGCTTGTAGCCACGCAGGGCTTGTTGAAGAGGGACGGCATTACTTTCTCTCAATGACTAAGGAACATGGTTTGCTACCAGTGAAGGACCATTATACATGTATGGTTGATTTACTAGGCCGAGCTGGTTGCCTTGAGGAAGCAAAGGATTTGATAGAGTCAATGCCTAAGCAGCCTGATGCTGTTGTCTGGAGCTCTTTGCTTAGTGCTTGTAAAGTTCATCGCAACATTACTCTAGGGAAGTACGTAGCAGAGAAGATTTTTAAAATTGACCCTACAAGCTCTGGACCGTATGTTCTTCTTGCAAATATGTATTCTGAGCTTGGCAGATGGGGTGATGCTATAAGTGTAAGAAAACTGATGAGGCGTCGTGGAGTAGTTAAACAGCCTGGTTGTAGCTGGATTGGCATACAGAGCAATATGCATGTTTTTATGGTGAAAGACAAAAGGCATCCTCAGAAGAAGGAAATCTATTCAATCTTGAAACTTCTTACAAAGCACATGAGGCAAGCTGGATATGTCCCTGATGCCAGTGATCATGAGGCTTACGAGGAACCAAGCGAATTAGAATCAAGCTCTTGTTTCCATATGGAAATGCAAGCAGAGGCTGCTGTCATGTAATTTTTTCGGAATATTATATTGAAACACTCATTCTGTTACCAAAGCATGATCGATTTTGTGGTTCAATAGCACGAATAAAATTTCTCTATTATGTTCTTGAAAATGATATTCTTAATACAAGCCCGCAAACTTCTACAAGGGTAGGTTTCTTTTCTTTTCTTTTTTTCTATACAAATGATCTATATGGCATACATCTTTCAAAAGATCGGACCGCTCTGGATTGGAAGTAGTGCCAAAGTTTTGTCAAGCGAGTTCTTAATGAAAAACTAACCCCAGCTCAAGGAGAACCACTTGCCAGCACAAACAGAACCATTTCATGACAGGTCAAACCAACTATCTAGTTCTTATATTTTGATAGACAATGGAACATATTTAACTTATTTTAATCTCCTTCAAGATTCTTTTAGTCTGATGAAGCCCATTTGATATCTCCACATGGAAACCAGTGACCAAAATACTTTGGTGAGATTCAGAACACTTGCAGGGATTTAAAACCTGTTACCAACATACAAGTAGAGTTACTAGGTGCCATCCACAAGATTTAGAGTGTGTTTGGTTCAATGTAGTTTTTGCACTTTTGATTAAAAAAATTAGATTAAAAAAATATATTTTTAGTTATTACATATTTTAAAAAATAAATTTTAAAAACTATACATGTTTAGTTAAAAGTATTATGAAATAGATTTTTTTCTGTAAAATAAATGAAAAACAAATCTTTATAAATAAAAACTAGACTATTTTAATTTTTAAAAAACCAATAATTGAAATAAAATTATATATAAATTTTATGATAAAAATAAAAATTATTTAACTAACTAAATAATTTTTTTATGATGATTGGAAAATAACGTAAGTCGCGACAATTCAAAACTGTCTCTTCAGAAATTGTAGACTCGAGGGAATGAAGTGTAGATTTACGTGCCCATTAAACAATAAAAATGGAAAAAAAGATTGCTTATTATTACCAATATCAAATTTAATCCCTATTCTTTTAATTTTATCTTTTGCAGCAATTCAAAACCTTCCAAAGCAACAATGGAAAATATCCACGTTTGAGTATTCAATACCCCACATGGAAACTTCAAAGCAAAATGAAGTGTAGAAACATTTAGCTAGGGAGAAAAGCATCCAAGTGTTATCCTGACATCTTGAGAAGTGGAATCTTAATCAGAATAATGAATAAAAAATATTTAATTATTTTAAAATAAAAAATATTTTAAAAAATAATATTTATCGTTACCTCAACACTAATGAAAAGAATAAGATTCTAATAGAGCACACATATTTACAAAAAATTAAAAAGATAGCATACACAAGCTTTACAATATTGTTTCGAGATAGAAAGAAAAAAATTTTATTTTCAATTTTATTTTATATCTTCATTTTATTTAAACTTCTTTAATATATTTTTTTTCTGTGTTAAGACAATGAGAAAACGCAACTAATGGAGGTAAAAGTGATTATTACATGCATCATGTCAACTATTGATAAGAAAATCTGAACTAGGTAACTTGTCTGTCCTTGTAGTTAGGTAACTTGTAGAGTTTGGGGACACGGGTTGAAATTATATTTTTTTAAAAATTAATTTTTTATTTAATTTTTTAAATTGTTTTGATGTAGTAATATAAAAAGTACCTTTTTTTAAATAAAAAAATATTATTTTAATATATTTACAAACAAAAAATATATATCAGAAAAACAAAAACCATAATTTTAGACACCATTTATAAACAAAAATAAAACTAGAAGGAGAATGCTAGGGTTAATTTTTATTTTAAAAATGTTTAATAGGGACAGCACCTAATCAGAACTTTATTCTGTCACAAAACCAATTAAAAAGTTGGAACTGAAAGAAAATTGGTTTATTCAACAAGCATGTCTAGTTGTCTGCTTTCTTATCCGTATCATGTCTGCCTTCCATCTCCCTCCATCAATCTCTCACGAGCTTCTCCACCTCGATTCTGTCTATATTGTTATCACTTATCAACCTTCATGCCAATACCTCGTGCAGGTCTGGCAATCTAGCTAACTTTACTCTTACATAATGTAAAATAACAACCAGTCTATGAACAAAACCAAGTCCAATTGGCAAAAGGGTCTCATCCACAAGGAAAATGGCGATGGAAATGGGCCACCCCGATCGACAAACATTTCGATTTACATAACCTTCATGGTTATTCCAATGGACACAAGGGTCCAATACGTTGGCGAAATTTATCAATCCACTAAACAGAAGAAAGAGTATGAAACTATGACAGCAGACAGGCAACACGCTCACACACGCAACAGCTCCTCCTTAAGTTTGCAACTTATTCCATTACACGCCTGGGTTCAATACGATGTGAACTATTCAATGACATCTTTTTTTTTTTAATTTTGTTTTTAGCTATCACTATGCTCAAAGAAAGTAAAAGAACAGGAAATAATGGCAGAATAAGACAGAGACGACTCATGATGATGATACAATTTGTCCTCTATTTTTTCGAACTCCAGGAGATAGGATTGCAGCCAAGAAATGTGATGTAAGCCGATGTAGACGTGCGATCATCAATGTTACCAGCCCAGTCAGCATCGCTATAAGTTGTTCTTTATTATTTTGATATTAATTTCTTTGGCTGCTATCTTTAGTAAATTCCAAAAACATGTGCAATGTCTTGTGAACACTCGTGAGAGAGGGGAGGGAGAGGGAGAGAGAAAGGGAGATAGAAAGACAGATTCAGCAGAATCATCAAACAAGTGAACCCTTGAAACTGCTGATGCCAGGACAGTATCTTAACCTAAGAATAACATAAGAAATAAACCTGTAAACCAAGATGAAACATACCATGATAACCACATTCCTCCACTTACCATCCTCTCCATATCCTTCTTCTCTAAGCAAATCTTCTGCACTAACCATACATTTCCCGAACATGTACTGCAAGCACTTCCCTGGATTTGAGAACTCATTTATCAAAAACCCTTCAAATGGATACTTAAACAACGATATATAGTGCATAAAAATCCAATAATTTGGCATTCCACGCTTCGATATGAAGTAGCCAGAGAACAAGAAGAACGATCCCATCACCCCTGAAATCACTGAATTCCCAACGATGAAGTTAGGGACTAGAGCACTGAAACATACCACAACCGAATTCGCTGTGTAGAGAATCAACCAGATTAACAACAAGAAATGCATGAATGCCATGAAATTTGGGTTCAGTCCCACTAGCCAATATAGTGGAATTGTGAATAGTATGGCAAGGATGAGTAGAAATGGCAAGTAAACTAGTCCATTGGCAATGACATATGATGAGACTCTATAGCTCCCACAAGATGTCTCCTTCATAAGAATCTCCCTTTCTTGCAAGAAGATTGGTAGAGCTTCTGTTGTGCAAGATAACAAGAAAGTCAGTATAAAAGCAAATAGTCCTACCCTTTCTTCTGCTCCAGTCAAATCATCTTTAAGGTTGTAGAAGATAGAACCCAAAACAAGTCCAGAAATCAACATTTGAATCGTTCGGCATGCAAAAAGCTCCTTGGTTCTGAAAATGTTCTTGGAGAACCTATGAGTGAGGATCAAAGTTTCTTGCAACCTTGAGTTAGCAAAACCAAGAGGAAAATCAAACCCAAAATCGATACTTTCCTCATCTACCACTTTAGATTGCTGAAAGAGTTGTTGAAGAGTGAATTTGCCACTTCTACTCTCGCCAACTTCTACTTTCTTCTGCCGAGATTTTGTTGTAGATGATGATAGCAGTTGTGGTTGAGTTTCTTGCCGCAAAACTTTCCTTTGTTGTTGAACGGTGTCAATTGACTCTAAAGCAAATTCAACAACATTGGCATGAAGAGGAAACTGCATTCCCATTGTCCTCAAATTAACACCAAGCTGATCCACCGTGCCATGATGCAAGACCGATCCATTAGCCATCAGAAGTACTGAATTGAACAACTTCACAATCCGAAATCCGGGTTGATGAATGCTTAGTATTATAGTTCGGCCCCTTGTCTCCGCCATGAGCTTGAGCATATCAATAATCTGCAAAGCAGAAGTGCTATCAAGACCTGAAGTTGGTTCATCAAGAATTAGCACTTCAGGATCATGAATGACATCAACTCCTATCGACACACGACGCCTTTCTCCGCCGGATATCCCACGAATCCGGTCGTCACCAACTCGAGTCATGGCTACGTGATCCAAGCCTAACTCATGCATTAAGAACTTAACCTCAGAGCTCAGTTGATCTTGAGGAAGCCTTAGACGTAGCTTGGCGCTAAACATGAGTGTTTCTTCAACTGTAAGGAGAGGAAAGAGGGTGTCTTTTTGGGTGACATAGCCTGAAAACTTCTTGAACTGAGCTTTGTTAATAGGGTTTTGGTTGACAATAATGGAACCACTTTGTGGGGTGAGTTTCCCAGCTAGGACTTCAAGTAAGGATGATTTACCTGCTCCACTTGGACCAACAATAGCAAGGATTTCCCATGGCTTTGCTTTGCAATAAACATCTTTTAAGACATGCCTGGATCCAAGGCTAGCTTCTTCACGATTTGTCACTTGTTGTTTCGGTTCTTGATTTATTTCTTGCTTTTTGGTGAAGATTTTAAAAGGGTGCTCTCTTTTTTTGGTCGAGATTTTGTAGGTGATCCCTATTGCTTCAATCTCCCAGCCTTGTTTCTTCATTGCACTCTTTTGCTCCATTATTCTGGTTTGGTTTCTCAAGACCGAACCATCACTAGCTAATAAGTACGTACGGCTATTCTTTTTTTTCTTTATTCTTTTTTCCTGTAGAACAATGGATGAGTGCAGTGACAATTGCAACCTAGAAATTGTTAAACGCTTCAGCCTTCACGTGAAATTGTTCTTGGTATTTCTTGATATTTATTTTCTTATGGAAGATTTGGATAGCTCACGTGTTCTGCTACTTGTAATCTTATAGTTTCTCGTTGTATAGTTTTGGTCTTTTGCACTCTAATAATTTGTATTTTCATTTGGGTTATTAATTAAAAAAAGAAATTAAAAGAGTTCAGTCTTTCAGTAAAATGATCAACGGGTTGATCAACTTTTCACTAATGAAAAAAAGGGTTAAGAGCTCATATCATAAGTTAATTATCTTTTATCTTTAAATATAAATTAAGCTCTTGATCTATCTTTCTAGAAACATTATATTAGGTCAAACTATCATAATTAATTACATAATTAATGTACAAATTATACCCTTACAAATTAACTACACAAACAGAAAGCATTCATGTGCAAAATATCACACAACTAATTTTAACGTTTAAATAGATAATCTTGACAGAATGATAGATTAGGAATTTAATGTATATTTAGAGATAAAATTAGCTTAGTTAAAGATATAAGAATATATTAAAAAATAGCTCTAATATATAAGGATAAATTAAAATTGTTGAACTAGAAAACAAAATAAGATTTATTTGTTTTGGGCACGAATTACGAATTTTATTTTAAGAATAATCAGCTAGGGAGCCTTAATAAACTATATCTAATAGTATTAATTGAAAACTATATGCGCTTTGCAGGCCAAACAAAAAGTTTTGGAACTGCAGAAAACAATTGGCTAGGTTTCCGGTACATGTAATAAGTGCTTTTGAAGTCGGGCCCGAATGGGAAAAAAGCATAAATTAATTAATAATTAACAATTTTGGAAGCATATGCAGGCAGCAAGCCACCAAACATAGGGGTGAGGACGGAATAACAAGGTCCCAAGGGGTACTCGAATTTGTGGCTGAAATCACATTGAATCATAATGGCTATTAACCCATGAAATCTCTTACATTGATAGGATGGAGCACTATATATATATATATATATATATTGGGTTGTTGAAAATGGCTGCGAACTTATAGGATAACATCATGTATTTAATAGTTTTATTGCTAATTTTTTTTATTATGTATGATTATTTCAATCATAAATAGAAAACATCCATAAAAAAAATAATCATTCATAATTTATAATTTATTAGTAAATTTATAATTATCATTAATAAATTTATCAATAATTTTATAAATAGATCATGTGTATCAAAAAAATTACTTGTTTTAATATGTATATAATTCTCTCGATATTATTTAGTATACCATCGACATAATAACTATATATAATCCCATGAATGAGTTGCAACGACACTTACAATAATTTTTTTTAACTATCTAGTATATATCAAAGGATTTATTTCATGGAAATATTTTGTGTTTCTGTGATCAATAAATGTCAATGTAATATATTGATAAAAAAATTTCTTTTGTATTTTTGTTTGTATTTATTAATTTTCTAATAATATAATTTGTTAATTACAGTTGAAAAGCTAAAAATTTAGTTAAAAAGGCTAAAACTTTAATGTTTCTTATAAGTTAGACAAATAAGATTATTTATGAGATAGTTGGATTTTTAATAAGAAAAACACTAGAGGGAACCATTAAACATAAGAATATAGAACTATGTAATTAATGAAAAATATTCACAAAAAATATGACTAGAAGCATCATTGTTAGCAACTATTTTAATATATAATTTATATTATTTTTTAATATATTTTTTTAAATAAAAGTTTTTTAAGTTTAAAACTTGTAAAGATTTACATTATCTTGTGCTATTAATTAATTTCAACTAAAAACATGAATAATAATGATAAGATTCTAACTCATATTGTTTTTATCATTAAAATTATAATATCATGTGAAAAAATTATTAAAATTTAAGTTGTTGTGAGTTTAAAGTTATGAATTATACTATTAAAAAAAAAGAAATTACAATGAAAGAAAGGAGAACAAATCATTTTTTGTGGCTGAGAACTTGAGATGATCAAGAGACCAGAGATCATCAAGGAGGGAAGGTGGGGGCCAAAATGCTTTGTAGTCTTACTTTTGTCACTTTTTTAAAACTTGTGACATTGCAAACCCCCCTTGAGATTAAAATAAAAAAAATGTTATTGTGGTGCGGAATTTCCAGATATTTGTTAATGTTTATACCAATGTAGCAGTAAGCACCCGTGAACCGATCCCCTTCCTGACGTGGCCATTTCTGTGGTCAATCAGACACTATGGTGGTCCCCACATCATTGCCCCACCGTCTCCTCCATCCACTGTGGTTGAAGAAATTGCAGCCAGCGCAGCCCGTGAACCCTTTCCTCATCTACCACCTTCCTATTATTTATTCATCTTTTTTTTTTTTTAACAATTCTCCATCCCTTTTGGCATCGATTATACCCATGTTTAAAACTTGTAAAGATTTACATTATCTTGTGCTATTAATTAATTTCAACTAAAAACATGAATAATAATGATAAGATTCTAACTCATATTGTTTTTATCATTAAAATTATAATATCATGTGAAAAAATTATTAAAATTTAAGTTGTTGTGAGTTTAAAGTTATGAATTATACTATTAAAAAAAAAGAAATTACAATGAAAGAAAGGAGAACAAATCATTTTTTGTGGCTGAGAACTTGAGATGATCAAGAGACCAGAGATCATCAAGGAGGGAAGGTGGGGGCCAAAATGCTTTGTAGTCTTACTTTTGTCACTTTTTTAAAACTTGTGACATTGCAAACCCCCCTTGAGATTAAAATAAAAAAAATGTTATTGTGGTGCGGAATTTCCAGATATTTGTTAATGTTTATACCAATGTAGCAGTAAGCACCCGTGAACCGATCCCCTTCCTGACGTGGCCATTTCTGTGGTCAATCAGACACTATGGTGGTCCCCACATCATTGCCCCACCGTCTCCTCCATCCACTGTGGTTGAAGAAATTGCAGCCTGGTTTTGTCAAGTAATTAGCTAGAGTACTGTTGTTATTAGCTAATGACAGGCATGTTTTATTTTTTAGTGAAAGAACTACTCTCAAGGATTAATTAATTAATTAATCCCCTTGTCTTTATGTCAGATCAGTCATATAAGACCAAACTGATTAGTTTTAATTAAGATATATGGCATGAAATATTATATGGTAAATAATAAACATTATCATGGCTGGAATTACTTGGAATCTTCACTTCAAGTACCCTGCCTGAAGAGGACACCAGCATCTATCGATCACGATGAACGGCGAGGGATTTGAGTCAAGTCTATCTTAAAGGAGTTCTGCTCCATGCACAAGATAATCAACTATTTTTTTTTTTTTGCAGAACATTTCACTGATAATCAATAATAGTGGTATATAATAATATATTGCTTGGGATTTTTCTCTGTTCTTGTGACTTGTAGAGATGATATACATCAAAAACCCTAGCTGTTTTTCATGGGAAGAAATCTATTTCAAGTAGTGAGTACCCTATTCCAGCATTTTGCATCTTTATTCGGTATGTATATCCGTGATTCTTTTTTGTTTGAGAAAACAGTAGTTTCTTTTTATTTTTATATTTTTTTGGTGAAAATAAAAAAAAGTGAAGATAAGGTCAAGCTAGTGATCCATCGAACTTAAATTGTCGGGGGAGCATATATAATTTAATAAGATATAATTAGTTGTGTACCATGCTCTACTGCTGGGTTGAATTTATTTTTTATGTAAAAAATAATATTTATGTTATAAATATGTTTTTTAATAAAAAATAAAAATTCATGGGTTAGGTTAGAGATCCGACTAGATCAAATAAATAAATATTTTTATAGAAAATTTAATATTAATTATAAAAATTAAAATTAAAATAAAAAAAAAATAATGTAACTTGCATTAGCTTTTCAAATTCATGAATTAAATTATTAAATTAAAAATACTATACTTAAAAAAATCACAAAGTCTAAATTAATATTGAATAATAAAAAATAAATAAAAAATAAAAAAATAATGTCATTTGCATTAACTTTTAAAAATCGTGAACTAGATTATTAAATTAAAAATATCATATTTCAAAAAATCACCAAGTTCAATTTTAAATTAAATTAAATATTGAAATAAAAAAAATAATTTTAATTATATAAAAAAATTCAATAAAAAATAATTAAAAAATAAGGGTAAAAAATAAAATAAAATCTTCTTGTGATGTGGATGTTGTCCAGAAAAAAAACTTATTTATCTTTAATTAATATAGTAATTATTAATGATTTTGGGAATAGATTTTGATATACAATCAAATAATTTGTTTTTGTGGGAATAGACAATGTTTTTCCAAGAAATCTTAGCTTTTATTAGTATAAATAGTGATGTGATTATTTAATTATTAAAACTATGATATTATATTAAAAAAATACTTTCGATGGTTTTATTTTACCATGTTGAAATACAATTCACGGAGGATCAATTATAGACTTGGTATGAATCTAGTTAATTGATGACAGGGCTCGAATTCAAGCATAGAGAGAGGAAAGATGAACTCCTTGACTATTGTACCAAGAGGCTGTCGGCATTTTCTTTCTTCACTGTTCCTGCTATGTACCATTATCGATGACAGATATGTTCTTGAAGGACAGAAAAGAAAAGTATAAAGAAGAAGAAGAAGATATCAACATGAACGTTGTCTGTCTCCGAACTTCGCATTTCAAGCATGAAACAAATAAATCAAACCACCTGCTTAAAACTCCCTCTCGTCTGTACAGAGTACAAGAAACACCGTACTATGCTGTCTTTTATATTTCAAGCAATATCTTAATTGGTTCAATTTTCGAGAACTGAACTAATAAAACAAATGAAGTTCATGAGATCAACTATTGGATCACGAAGATTTATATCTTGTAATGTTACTTCCATTAATATTATAAATTATTATATTTTAGTAAAGTTAAGAATTTGTCATCGTATTTCTAAAAAAAACATAATACCGTCTTTAATCTTTAGTAAAATCGATTAATTTTGTCTCAAATGTCTGCTGGATTATTTGGTAATTACATAATAATTTTTAAGGAGGCATTTATAGGATTGAATCCTAGAGGAGATTAACATAGAAGAGAGAA